ACAACTTGCATGTTTTGGGGGTTCTAATGGCAATAAAAACAACTTGCATGTTTTGGGGGTTCTAATGGCAATAAAAACAACTTGCATGTTTTGGGGGTTCTAATGGCAATAAAAACAACTTGCATGTTTTGGGAGTTCTAATGGCAATGCAATCAAAAGTTCTGAACATTTCGGCCAATGCACTGACTGAAAATTTAATGAATTTTATGAAAGACTAAGTGATTAAAGTATAAACGTTTTTTTAAATACAGATCTTCGGATGAGTTGTTTGCTTAAAATTCGTTTAATATAATTTGTCTTGTGTTGCTAGTTGGTCTCACTTAATTAATTAAACAAATTAGCAGAAGGGCGACATCTACCCCGCGAAAATGCAACCAAATATATTTAAAATTGACAAAAGTGATGGAAGTTGTATAACCTCATTTGAATTTAATGTTCCACGTTACAAATACAAATATTTTCCCATTCATAATATATGTTTGTATAAACACACGTGCACACACTCAAATTAGTGTGCATTTGGAGTATATTCTGAGCAAACTAATAATCTTAATATAAATCCCGCTAGATTCCAATATCACTGCAGCATAGTGTGTTGTTTTTTTGTTTTTTTCATGTATATTAGACCTAATGGTGTTTAGTGATTCGCTATATTTAAATGTATCACTGGGACAATATTATTTACTTGCAACAAAGTTAATAATTGTTCACCTCTGATTGGCTGCTGCTGATAACCACACAGTCGCTCTTTTGTGGACTCGATCTCCAGGAAGTCAGCCTTACAACCTTGATCGGCTTCTACATCAAACTCCAAGAATTCCAGCTGTACATTGCACGTGGACAACGTCAACCGCCTTATTTCGTACTCACATCTGGCATCAGGAGGATAGTCGTCAGGATAGTTTGGTGTCCGGATATTGTCCTTTTCTTCTGTGATTACCTGATTACACTGGACTACATGGAAATTATTTTAAAAGGCATTAAAAATCATTAAAAAGTGAAAGATACTGCGAAGCAATAAGACATTGGAAGTACTATAATTCCACTGCTTGAAAATTTGGAGAGTATAATGTTAACATGGTTCCAAAATACCATGTGTTCAAATATACATTTATCGTAGGAAACTTGAAGTAAAGAGTGTTAACATGGTTCCGACAGACTTTGTTTTCCAGTAACAATAACCTGCTTGGAAACTCAGAGTACAGAATGTTAACATGGTTCCAAAATACCCCGTTTTCCACAAACAACAAAAATGCTTGGAAACTCGGATCACAAAATTTTAACATGGTTCCTCATGACTCCGTGTTCCAATAACAATGAACTGTTTAGAAATTCGAAATGAAGAACGTTAACAAGGTTCCAAAAGACCCAGGATTCCAGTACCAAGGAACCCAGTTGGAACTCGAAACTTACAATGTTATCATGGTTCTAAAATACCCTCTGTTTCAATAACAATGAAGTATTTGGAAAATCAGATCCAAGAATGTTAATTGTTCAAAAAGACCCCGGTTTTGTCATCATCAGGTACCTTGTCGAAACGTTGTACATTTGCTGTTCTGTTAAACTTATATTAAAGTTTTTCTTCATTACCCATTCCATGAGTCTCCAACCATTACTAATCAGTGTTTATTCAATAGTGCAAAAGAAAACGTGACAATTCTGAGCCTTTAACAGTGGAAATATTTATACTTCATGCTAAACAATTTAGAACTTATAACTAGAAAGAAAAAAAAAGTTAAGTCTACAATATTTTTATAGCAGGTTAATTGTTTAAGTTATTTTGCGTATATTTATTTTAGCATTTCAATAAATGTAACTGTTAGATAAATTCTCTCTAAAAATGTCCTCCAGTGGCTCAGCTGTACGTCTGAAGGCTTACAACGTTACAAACTGGGTTTCGATACCCGTTGTGGGCTCAGCACAGATAGCCCATTGTGAGGCTTTGCGCTTAACAACAAACAAACTCTCTGAAAATCGTCCTGTATATTTAACAAAACAGTTATATTGCTCATATTTTGTATGATTAGTCCTAAGAAAGAGTTGGTAAAAAACAC